CTCCCCCCAGCCCCAAACAGAGGGGCTGCGAGAAGGGCTGTGCCCCCCAGTGGCTGGGCTTGCGCCTGCCGAGGGCCCCTGAGCCCGCGGGTGGCTGACGCCAACCCCTGGAGTGCAGCTGTGGCCCTACTCATTAGGGCCTGTTTGGAGCCCGTGGGGCCGCGGGTGGAAGGCTTCTGGGAAGGCATTAGTGGTAACGAGGGAGGCCATGCTGAGAGCTTTTTAATCTGCAGGAGGAGCGTCTGCTTTCTGCACGTCCCCACAGCCAGTAACGAGCTAAATGAGCCGGCTGCCCACTCACCTGGCCACTTCCAGGAAGAGACGGCCCCACAGTGGAGGGGCAGCACCCTGCTGCTCTGCCCATGGAGGGACAGCAGGGGGGCCAGGGCTGTGCCCCACAGGGCCCCAGCACCAGCCCGGACTCAGTGCTCCCAGCCTGACCCTGCAAGGCCTGGGTGGACCAGATGATGGGGAGGGTCTTGCTGGCCCCCAGCACCACATTGGAAATGCCTTTAAGTGGGCATACTGGGGCTGATGGGAGTGCAGGGGTACCCAGACGTGCTGTGTCCCCAGGGCCTACATTGGGGTGGGAGCCCATCCTGCACCAGAGGCCTTGGGAGAGACCTCAGGAGGCAAGGGGGGCACCAAGACTAGCTGATGCTGGGGTCCTGCGGGAGACAGCTCTGTGTCCCCTTCTGTCCCCCCACGGGCAGAACAACAGGGCGCTGCCCCTCTGCTGCAGGGCCGTGTCTTCCTGGAAGCGGTCCGGTGAGCGGGTGGCCGGCTCATTTAGCTCGTTACTGGCCATGGGGATGTGCACAAAACAAACGCTGCTTCTGCAGATTAAAAAGCTCTCAGTGCAGCCTCTCTCGTTACCACTAATGCCTTTCCAGAAGCCCTCCACCCACAGCCCTACAGACTCCAAACAGGCCCTAATGAGCAGGGCTGCCAGCCCTGCTCAAGGGGCTGGCAGCACAGCTGCAGCCCAACTCACCAGGGCACACGGCCTCTCTTGCAGCCCCTCTGAATTTGGGGCTGGGGTAAGCTTGGAGCCAGGAGGGCCGAGCTGCTCCGTGGCAGCCAGCAGCTCCCGCCACGGTGGGGCCTCGGGATGGAGATGGGGCACTCAGCATCTACAACAGGAAAAGGAGTGGGAATGGAGGGGATACCAACCATGCTTCTGCTTTTGTGGGGGGCAGCACAGGGTGAGCCTTGTACGGTTACAGCACCAGATGCAAGGGCAGCTGGGTGCTGGGCACGAGGGTCCCAGCTGTGTACTTTGCATAGGGGGACCCAGCTGGGTGCTGTGCATGGGGGGTCCCAAAATGAAGGCTGGGCATGGGGAACTCAGCTGGGTGCTGTGCTGTGTGCTGTGCACAGCAGCCTGCAGTAGGAGGAAATGCCCAACAGCAGAGCGGCCCCTCGTGGGGCTCTGCCATCCTGCAGAACCTGGGCACAGGGGCATGCAGGCAGATGCAGTGCGCAGAGCCTCTGCTGAGTGTTTCTAGCAGCTATGTGAATCTGGAGGGGAACGGGGCAAAGTGGATGGGGTCCCATGCCTCATCCCCTCTGACCCAGCCCAGCCCTTGGTTACAACCTGATCCCAAGCAGGGAAATAGCTCTTGCTAGGCTGGGGTAGGATGGGGTGGGCAGAGGTCAGAAGGCAGAGGAGAGCCTGCAAAGAGCCCTAGGTCTGCCATTGCCACCATGGACCATCCGTGATGCACGCTAACACTTGTCCTTGCAACTATGCAGCTTCCTTCAGGTTTTGGAGTGGCAACTGAGCACCTCACAGCACCAAGCTCCAGGTCCAGGATGTGGCTGTGAGAGCCAGTGATGGGGCTGAAGATAACAGTGCAGCCAGTTCTCCTTTCTTCCCTATGGTGGAGTCGAGCCCTTGATGCGGACAGGAATTCCTCTGAGAGCTCTTAGTTCTGGGAAATTTTAGGCTTTCAAAAGGGTAGATGAGTGAGAAATGCAGTTAGCACAGACAGGAGCCCAAAGAATCTGTAGATGGGTAATGGCCAGGAGAAGAGGACTTTTGAAGACTGTAAACAGACTCTGTACTATGGCTGGATTCATGCCAGGAGCTATTCATATGCAAGTTTGTCTTTGAAAGCATGCAGAAAACCCTGCATATCTTGGTAGAGGAGTCTGTAGCCTTGTAGGATTCTCTAGCTGGGAACTGAGAGACTGCAGTCTAAGTGCCATTCAGATATGGCTGGAAAGCGAAGGACTGTGGAAGGAAGGTGGCACTGCTCTGAAGCAGCAGCCAGCTGCAGTCAGCTCAGAGGTTTCTCAACAGGCAGCTTGGAGGAAGGATGGTGGAGTTGGGCTGGGCACACCAGGATGTTCCTCTGGCATCACTCATCCCTGCCATGGGCTTTCCAGGTCCTTTTGGCACCACAAACGAGTTAGTGCCTGGACATAGGGAGGGTAGTTGGAAAGGCACCGGACACAGGGCATTTAGAGCAGGCTTCCCAAAGCTAGAGGGCATGGCCCTTGCCAGTAGAGGCCAGGAAGGGGACATGAGCTGATGCCAGGACTATGCTGGCCACAGGCTCACGTGGGAAGATGAGGGAGGCAGCCCTGGTTTAGAGATCCCCATAAACCTGCTTTATGAAAACACGCAGCCCCTTGCAGAAGGAAACGTGCAGGGAATCTAACCCACCTCCACCCCACAGCCATGGGGCCAGGCATGGATGGAGGTGGCATCTCTCCTCTGGGTCAGTGTCTGTGCAGTCTGTCACTGATCCTCCACTCCCAGAGCCCACAGGATGCCAAGGGAAGTTCTGCCTGGATCCCTGCACAGAAGGCAAGTCACCTCTCAGCACCCATAGAGGCACCATGTGAGCAAATAGGGAGTTCAGGGCAACAGAGGATCCATTCCTCTTCACAGCCATGCAGGGCGCAGAGAAGCACTGTGCATGAGTCCTCCCTCCTGCACATTGCCCCACCAGCTGTGTCTCTATCCAGACAAAGCCTGGTTTTCAGAGAAGCCCACCTACCTGGTAGTTAGCATAGTCATGTGGCTGCAGCACTTAATTAATAGAAAGCCAATATAAATTCCAGTCCACATGTTGGGAGGACATCTAGGCAGAAACACGTAACCGCGTTACCAGTGAACTCAGTGGAGCAGCAAGCGGTAAGCCCTGTTTCTGTTCAAAGAGGTCTGTTCTTACAATGGGTGGTGTTTCTGCCTTGGGAAGGGTTTGGGTGAGCAGGGCCAGGCAGTGGGTGCATTTAGGGTGCCATGCCCAAAGCCATAGCGATCTCCTGGGTGCGGAGGGGCTCTCTCACAGCAAAGGACTGGGCGGTTTTGGGGGAATGGGGAGGTGAAGAGTGGCTGGCATGGTTCTGGATTTCCAGAGGGAAGAATGGAGCTTCAAAGGCTGCTGAGCAGCTTTTCAGCCCTGCCTCAGAAACGGGTGCTGGGCTCTGTGGGACTTGGCTGCTGGCACTGGCTAGGAATCGCCCTCCTGGGCCCTTTTTTTGCTCCCTGCAGAGCTCCCCTGCCCTTTATAGCTTTCAGGCCCCAAAAGCCCACAGCCCAACCCTGCATTATCTTTTCTCCTCCCAGTCCTGTAGGTGATGCTTGCAGTTTCCCCAGCTCGCCCAGTCTTTTCCCCAGCTCGCCCAGTCTTTTCCCCAGCTGTGCCCAGTGTAGTCCTCCTCCCAAACTTGCTCTCTCCAGCCCAGCCTAGCCCTCTTCCCAGCATTATAGCTTCACATTTCTCCTTTCTGCTGGATTATTTGGGGTATGTCTTTGGATTAAATTTCCCAAGAAATCTCCCAAGAATATCTCCCGATATTCTCTTTAAGCTGTATCTTTCTCCTCTCTGACCTATTTCATCCCCAGAGAAAGCAGAGGGTTGGGAAGGATCTCACATCCACAGAGCTTCCACTCCCTTCCCCACTGCAAAGTACTTCCCACCATCCCGTAGCAGCCTTAGGATCTACAGTAAAAGACCAAAAGTCCCCCAACTAACTGAGCCTCGTGCACAGCAGTGGGGCACTGCCAGTATTGCAGAGCTCATCAAGAGCAGAAAATCTGAATTTCCCCATGACTTGGAAAGGGGAAGCAAACCCTGCACTGGGGCCAGGTGAAAACACTGGGCTGATTCAACTGGGGAGATATTTCCTGATGTCGGTGCTCAGGATCCAGGCAGCTTAACAGGCAAAGGAGCTTTTTCACAGAAATGCTTCCCTCACAAAAGCCATCTGGCCGAGTGCCAGTGGGCTATTCAGGTAGCACAGAGGCCTCAGAGCCCCCTGCAAGGGTATTTGCTATGTTTATGACATCCAGACCATCACTGCAGACCTTAAGCAAAGCCACAGCTATCCTGCTCTCTCTCTGTCAGCCTCTGCGTGATACTTTATCTTCCCGAAGCCTCACATTTGCTTATTGGGTCCAAATCCTGCTGGGTCCTCAGTTGTGCAAAACGAGTTTTAGCAAAGCAGTTTGTCATAGGAGTTCCCCAGGGCCTTTTCAGGGGGGTTCTCTTGCAACTGCTCCAATAGTTACCCTGGGTGCAGCGCATGCAGTCTCTCTAATGGCTGGGCTTTGTTTACAACGCTGTAAAGTTGTTCTTTTCCATTACCTAGACTCCTGCTCATGGCATTGCAAAGCTGCCCGTGAGGGTGGGCATGGACACATGGCTCAGGGGCTGATGTCTGGAGGAGTGGAGGGATAAAGCAGGCAGGGGGAGGGAGACATTATGGAGGGGGCAGTGGTGGAGAGGGGCAAGAAAGCATAAAGAGGTTTGTGGCCTGTCCCCAAGTAGTGCTGGCATCAGCAGTGCCATGAAAAAAGGCAAAGGATGGAACTGCTGGTGAGTACCAGGGCTGCCTCTGAGCTAGACCATGGGTCTTGAGGCTGTGGAACTTGGAGACCCTGCAAGATACTTGCCCTCCAGCACTTGGAGCTGCCTGCAAGACCCTTGTTACCTGCCCAAGCCCAGATGAAGACCAGGCTATATTAGCTCTTGGTCTTTAAAGCTAGTGGCATTTCCATGCTCTGTGAGCACAGCTATCTGGCAGGAGTTTTGGTGGATCTGTTCTGGGCATAGCCTGTGCATGTGCAGATGGGTGAGTGCGTGGTGTTGCCATGCTGCTCACCCCCCTGTGCAGTGGGAACATGAATGATCCAGCATCCAGAGTCCCCCATGGCACTGCAGCACATGGGTTAGCTCTGAATGGTCCTGGCCTGTTCAAGATTCACAGGCATGCTGGGGGCCCGAGGAAAGCTCTCAAGTCCAGGAGGCCAGAGCATGTGGGAAAGCTGGTTAGCCTCACTGCTTCTGACTTCTCAAGGTCTACAGACTCAACTGACAGACCTGGGACATCAGCCAGCCCTGCCACTGGCAGGAGGAGCAACTGGTGCAGGGAAGAAAGGAAAGAAACACAGCAAGCTGTCTGTACTGCTCCTTAACACAGAGATTTGCCCCCACTGAAGATGCATGGCCAAGGCAACGTCCTGCCAGGAGACATCATAAGGCCCTGGGGAGCGAGCACAGAATGCCCCATGAGGGAAACTGACAGGGAGAAGTGGAGATTTCAATGAGTTGCCTTCTCCCAGAGGCACAGCTTGTTTTGGATAGCTTCTGACCTTCCTGTCTGAAGTCCTGTACTGCAAAACAGAGCATCAGACTTCACAAGGTTGTATAGCTCAAGCAGCACTGGAGCAGAGAAGAAGAATGGCAAGATACACAATTAAATTGGAGTGTCTTGTTGTCTTGGGACAATATCTGTCGGTGCTCTTTCTGCTCCTGCCTTTTCAGAACTAATGGATGGTTCACCATCTAGAGAATGTGAAAGGCGTAACAAGATGCCAACACTCTGTGACTGAGATGGCTTGGGGCTCTGCAGTTACTGTCACTGGAGCAGGACTGGGTGGGTGGGGGATGACCACACATCCTTCCTGGTTGCTTCTTCCTTTTGAATTCAGACACCTTGCTTGGAATGGACCAAGCCTCAGGAGCTTTGTCCCCTGTCAGGGTGTTGGACATGGAGAAGTTTCTGTGCTTCTATCTGGAGAGGAAGAGATGGTTGTGCCTGAGGTCCTCCCAGTGCTAACGCTGGCAGAAATTGCAATAGAAACACCATCTCCTGAAGGCAGTTCATGGCTGGGGAGTATCATGGAGGATGCATGCCCACAGTCTGAGTTGGGAGAATGTAGGCATCCAGCTGACCTTGTTGACTGGAGTGAAAGGACAGCTCTGTCCCCTTGGTTGACTCAGGTGGGAGGAGGACAGGTGTTTTTGGTTGTCATGGCCAGCATCCTCCCCTCTTTTTGTCTGATGTATCTGAACATGACCAGTGACCAAAGACCTGAGCAGGGAGCCTGCTCTCCTTGGTCAGGCCAGCGGGTCATATGGACAGCAGCCTAGCTCTGAGGAGTGCTGCAGTACTACAAGCCCACATTGTCAGGGGTTTGGAGACCACCTGCCCAGCTGCTGCAGGTAGGATGCAGCATGGCAGAGAGCAAAGCCACAGTCTTGGCACCTGTCCCTGCTTGGTCCAAACTGGCTCTGGGAGGAGGACAGCACTCTCAGTGCTGACTTTTGATCCACTCAGTGTGATGTCAATGGACCCAAGCAAAGAGCACCGTGTTATGGGGGTGCTGGGAGAGGCTGTCCTTTGCCAGAGGGGCTGGCACTTGAGTCCCTCAAGCATGCACTGCTCTGAGGGTGATAGCAGGGTGGTGGAGCTTGGGAGGCCAGGCCAGGACTGATCTTCACTGTGACCCCACTGTGCAGATTGCCCCAGGACCATGCTGAACATGCTGCTGCTGTGTTATGGGTTGCTGCAGGGAATCCAGACCATCCTCACCTCAGACCTCAGCCACAACCACCTGCAGGAGATGAGCGCTGGTCTGTATGGGGCAGACAGAGCCCACTACTCCAACCTGCTACGTAAAGTCAAGGCGGTGTCTGTGGAGCCAGTGGGTGAGTCCCGTGCACCCCCACCCCTCCCATTGTCTGGCCACCAGCTGCTTGCTGGTGGGGCAAGGGGCCCAAAAATAGAACTGGGAACCCTGATCCCAGGACTGAATGCAGGAGATCCCTTTAGAGCAATGCAGCCCCTCCTATCACTGTCCAGTGAGAGTAGTGTCCCCTCTAACCCTGCCCTGGCAGCCAGTTCAGACAGTGGAGAATAGGTTCTTTGTTCTGGGTGTGGACTACATAGCTGTGCGCCCTTCTCTGGGATCTTGCCCAAGGATCCTTTCCTCCCAAGGACTCCAAGCCCTGCCTGGAGCCAGCCTCTCACCTCATGTATCCCAGCACACATGCAGATTCCGCTGCCCTGCAAGGGGTCCTCTCCTTTCTGAACAGAGACCTGCAGAAAGCCCTGTACAGTGGTACCTATCTCATCATGTTGCACAAGAGAGGGATGGGAGCAATTCTTTGCCCAGAAATATGACCATAACCGCAACTCAGGCTGGCTTTTCCCCTCTGAGGTGCAGTACTATTAAGTTACATCTTTGACCATTTATTCTCTGTGCCCAAGTTCCTCTGGAACACGGAGAGCAGAGTCAACCAGCAGCCAGCAGCCTGTCTGCACTGCACACCTTGTCCAGCCTCTCTCTGTATTTAACAGGAGCTCTTCCCAGGCCTGAGTTTGATCAGATGGCCATAGAAGTCCAGGAAGCTGATGGAAACCTTGTGCAGAAAGGTGGTATGCTGGAACCACAGGTAACAATCTACAAGCTCATGATGTTTTCTTAAAAACCTCCAAAGATCAGGGATGCTCCAAACTGCATCAGGCTTCTCCATGCCCTGGGGCCATGGTTGGTTTGGAGCAAACACCAAACCTGGCGCTGCCTGGGAAGGGAGCCTACATTTTTTGTCTGCTGAGGAGTGTGGAAATGCTGGGAGTCTGGGAAATTAGAAGGAAAGGGGCCTAGAAAGATGATGGCTTTGCGCTGGCCTACCAGGAACACTGCTGCAGGGACCAGGGAGGAGAGCTGGCTGGAACTGAGGAAGGTTTGAAGCCAGGCAACTATTCTCCACCTAATTGCCTATGAAACTGTGGGAACTGAACCTTCTCCACCAAACATTTCAGTAATGACAAGTGGGCGTGAAATATGTTCTTTTGAAATTTCTCCAGCCAAATCAATTGTTCAGTCAAAATCGGAGAGGACTTTGAGAAGTATGAAACAAACGTTTCCAGCCAAGGGGGATGGGAATAGTGCATTCGCTATTAATAATTATCAAATTGGAGGAAAACACTGGCCTCCTCCTTTACTTTGGAAGGCCCAACAGAGCAGATAGAAAATACCAAGAACTCTCTCACATCTCAGTACAAGATAGATAGCCCAGGCTTCTCTGTGGGGGTGTGCAAGACTGAACTTCCAGTCAGGAGATGGAGATCTGATGGATTCACTGATGGGCCACTGGAGTGATGCAGGGCCTGAGGAAACTCCCATGATGAGGGACTGAAAAGACTGTTACTCTATGGACAGATCATTAAAAGACCCTAGAAGGCCAGGCTGAGGCCTCCCCACCCTCCCTCAGGGCTCACTGGACCTTTGCTGAGCTCTTCCAGCACATTAAGTTGCAGGAATCAATCTCCTTCAGCTCCCAGGTTAGCTTTCTGCCAGCTGGACGCAATGAAATAGGTCTGACAAGAGCTGGCACTGGTACAAGAAAGGGACCAGGGATGGGGGCTCTCAGCAGCCTGGAGTGAGACAGGCTGAAACTGCCCAGAGCCACAACCTCGGTGGTTGCCGCTGAGCTCCAGTGGGGCCTGAGCATGTGCTTCTTTGATCCAGGTAATGTATCTCAACTATAGCCCAGGAAGCCTCTGTGGGCCACCAGCTTGCTTGGCTGTTCCACTTCTTGCCTGGCTCTGTCTCTGGTGTTTCTGTTCCAGAGAAAGGCACCTGCCTCCTTCAATTCCTCAATGTTTAGACTGTGTTTCAAGAAAAACTTCTCTTCCACAATCATGAAGGCCTTGAAATGTGGTGAAAGAGGTAATGACACCTGAAGAGAGCCCAAAATGAGGGCTAAGCTATCCCAGGAGTTTCTCACATGTTGCTTTGAGCCTGGAGTTGACCATGATGGATGGTCCTGCTGTTCGCAGCAGCAGGCTGGCAGCTGCAGTACATTTCATCAGACACGCATGCCGCTGGCTCATGCTGCAATGCCTGGCTGTGCCCACACTAGCTGCCAAACTGTCCAGCTCTGCCATCTCAACAAGCTTCAGAGACATTCTCATGCTGAGCCCCAAGTGCGGGTTGGGTGTGTGAAGTCGGATATTCTGGGTGCTGGCAAACTTCATTTGTTTTTACATGGAGGTGCCTTGGACTCTTTAGGCTATGTGGACTGGACTGGACATCAAAGCCCTCCTGGAGCTTTCTGTGCCTGGAGAGGGTGTGTTCTGTGGCAGAATACATTTATTACCAGAGCGGGGCAGGTCACTCCCACAGTAGGCAGCACCTTTCAGTTAGAGTTGAAGGTCCAAGGACTATTTTTTTGACCACAAGCCCAGGCTCAGTTTCAGCTAAGTTAGGCTCAGTTCCAAGGCGAGCAGCAACTTTCCAGATGGCGTATTGGATCTGTGGTCTCTTTTTGACTTTCTTTGTCCCTCTGTCTCTCTCCGAGCTTCCTTCAGATAAGCAGGATGAAAAAGTCCCAGGACCAGCATCTCCAGCCCCAGAAATGCCCTTCCTTATCTGTTCTCAGTTAACAATGATATGTTGGTGGCAGAAGTTCTTTCAGCCTCTGCACCTCTCTCCCCTGGTTAGGTGGCCACACACTGTAAGGAAGCAGGATTGAGGCAAAGGCAGCAAACACAAAACCAAGGTAGAATATCCTTCAATCCACAGTCACGGAACTAGCTAAGGGACATCCCTACTCTCTCCCAAACAGCTCTTTATTGCTAGTGTGGCTGTCCAGCATTACACCATTTCCCTGCTCCTTTCTCCAGCAGGTGTTATCCACTGCACTGCAAGCTTCAGGCCGAGAAGAGCGCTCCCCTCGCCGGTGTGTCCGCCTCCTGGAGTCCTGTCTCGGGCATCAGATCCCCTGCTGTGACCCCTGCGCCACCTGCTACTGCCGCTTTTTCAATGCTTTTTGCTACTGCAGGAAAATCAGCACCAGTTTCCCATGTGGCAAGAACTAGCGCTGGTCCCGGGGGACTATATGCTCCTTGCCACTCTGGGTTGCTCCCTGGGTCTGCTGTGGGTCTGCCCGCATGTGCCTCCTCCTCTGCAGCTCTAATAAACCAGCCGTTAGCAAAACCCATCACCAAGTTGGACTGATTCTACCCAACATGTCTACCTTGGCTCTCAGGGGAGGTGTCAGCAGAAAGTTGGAGATACCTGCACCCCATGGCAGCTCCTGCAGAGCCATTCCCAGCTAGATTAGAGCGGCATCTCAGTAGGAGTGCCCCAGAAGGTGGGAATTCAGCTGTGCTGGGAGTTGTATGTCTTGTGTTCTGCTCCAACCAGCCCTGCTCTCATGAGCAAGAGTATTGCTCACAGCAGGCCAGAGGCTCCTACCCAAGATATTTTTGCTGCAGTGCTGCTGGTGGTGAGTCTCCAACTCTGTGCTTGGCTGTATGTCACCAAGAGGGAGCTGGAGGCAGATGTCACCACAGGATGGTGAGAACAGGATTCCCGTTTGCAGCAGGATTCGAAAATAATTTCAAGTCAGGCATTCAGGAAAGCCCCCCCTTATTCACAGTGATGGAGGTCAGAAATATTCTTCCTCTGGGCATAGGACCACCTGCTTTAGTTTGTTACACAGACCAAGGTCTGATATAGGTATTTGCAGTAAGCAGCTGGTAATACAACAGCACAGTTTCTAAGCCCACAGCTAAAATCATGCCCGAGGCACCAGTGGCAGGACAGCTCACAGCTCCTGCTGTGCCCTGGTCCCTTGGACCAGGACAGGCTGTCAAGCTCAAAGAATCAGCTACCAGGGAGAGGTCAACAGTGGGAATGGCTCCAGTGTGGATGCAGACAGCCCATAGTTCGACCTCCTCAGCCACTAGCCCAGGCAGCCATGGACCTCCAGGTGCCATCAGGCTATGATTCGGGGATGCCACACACACTGCTGGTGCCAACAGAAGAATGCTGCTGTGAGGGCTGTAACACAGCCTCACGTTGTCTCAAACACTTTGAATTGAAAAGTCATAAAAATACAGTAGTATCTTAAGGTTATGGGGGTGCCACAGGGAGCCCTGGACAGACTGGGGCCTAATGGTATACTGGGCTGCTTCTGAGCAGCGTGGAGACAAGCTGCTGGCCCTGCTGGTCCAGGGGCAGGGAGTGCACAGTAAAACACACAGTGACGGCATGTCTGTACAGCTGTAGTTCCCTTTGAAAGAAAACAGTGCCCAGTTTCCTACAGCTGGGTTAAGATGAGCTCAGACCCACAGCAGAAGGGAAACCAGAAAGGAAGCAGGTTGACAGGGTAGGAGAGTGAGGTCTGCAAACAGAAGACCGTGGTTTCAACTTGCTTCCACAGTTATGAACCCCAGGATGGAGCAGCAACAATCAGTCACACTCCAAGCACGGGCACTTCAGCTTCATTTGTGTGAAGTCTTTCCCTTTTCCTGATGTTGGCCAGGTCTCCTCACCATGCTTTGCAGGCCAGGCGCTTGGACCGCCTCTTCCAGGGACTGGCTGTAACGCCTTGTCTAAATCCTGCAGTGTGGCAGGCCCTGCCCTGGCCTGCATGGATGCTCCAGACAGAGTGCAAACACAGGGGCACGGGATCAGCTGCAGAGCCAGGCTCTGAGCCACGCTGCCCTCAGCCCAGCTCCAGAAAGAGCAAGGCAACCCGGGGCGACGGTGAGCCAGTGGTGGCTGCGCTTACTGCTCTCAGGTGGTTTTGTACCTTCAAACACCTCCGGGCACCCTGTTTCCCCCCCGTGACTTGGGCTGTGGCTCCGGTTGTGCAGTGTGAGGTGGCCCGGGTCACCCTGTCCAGCCCCTCACTGCCCCCTCTGTCACCCCTGCTGCCAGGGCCGTGCCAACGGGGGGGGCTGGGGGATGTGCCCAGGGCCAGGGGGCTGCATGGAGGCGCTGGAGCCTGCGTTGAGGCTCCGAGAGGGATGTGTGGAGTAACGGGGGGCTGCGCCAGGGACTGTCCAGGGACACCTGTGGACAGTCTATGGGCTGCGGCAGGG